CACAAGATTTATACTTAATAAAGTCTTTAAAAACAAATGACATTAGTTATACTAATGTTTCTTCAATAAAAAGGAAATTGAGTAAGACGGTGTAAAAGATGTGTGGACGTGGATTAGTAATCTGACCCCTTGGTATAAAAGAGAAAAAATGCTGGCCCTCGACACTATCAAAGTTGCCCATCCCTGCTGTAGAGCATCATGTTTGAACTTGCTTCCCCAAATCTGCTTGGAGCGTCTAAAAATAAAGGTCTCATACACTTGACTGAGCACCGCCAGTGTCTTGACACTAATGATATGTGACGAGGGAATAAAAGGTTTCATCTGATCCAAAAATCACAGTGTCTGTCTTAGCACCCGTTCAGTGATTTAATGACTTTAAGGAGGTCACAGAACACAATGAAGACTAATGCTGTTGGTATTCTTCTCCTCCCGCCGCTGTCTTTGTATCCGTGTCTTTCTTGACACTGACCATCAATGCCATTATTGCCAGTCCAAAATATGTCATAAGGTCAAATAGAGGACTTGCACTATTTACTTGCCCAATTCTCTGTAGAGTTCATGTGCAAGGTCAGGTTTTTCTCCGTGTGAAAAGCGAGAAGCAACAAAGAAAGGAAGTGATTCGTAGTCTGTAGTTTGCATAAACCTATGGGTGGTTTAACTGTCATTACTCTCTGAACTTTAAAAACATCTTGCTCAATTACTGTGCCTATTCAATTTGGTCTCAATAACCACTCAGTTTAACGTTCTGAAATGTCTAGGGCGAGACCGTTACGCTATGATTCATGGGGTCTCTATGAATATTTCAGTGGCTGTCTTGTCTAGCTGGGGAAAACGTAGGGAGTGGTACAATGTGCTGTGCGGAGATGAAGGGGAATGTGGCTGTTTTACTATGGATGAGACATGGCAGAAACACTGAAATACTACATACAGTGTAATGCGGTTAGATTGGATAGTTTTACCCCTTTGCTGTTTATCAGTAGTCAGGTCAAAGGGAAACTACTGTACTTTTATTAAATGTGCCCAATGTAGAATAAAATTTAAAGCACACCTATTCTGTTTAACATTTAGTGTTAGTGTAGAAACAGGCTTTTACCTTTTTGTGTCTGCTGTTATTTTTATTTTTAAAACTTTTCTTTAATTTTAAATGTATTTTTATTTCAAAATGTGTACTTTTTTTTTTTATTTAAATTCTGCAGAGCCCTACACATGTTGGGGGGAAAAAACAAGCTATTATATGTACACAAACTAAAAATTTGTTCACATGACATATTAATAAGCCTCATGGCAACAATTTAAATGTATAATAATTAAGAGAATGACCTAGTACAATGTAGCAGCTATTTAAATAAATGAGGAAACAAAATAGTACAAGGTGGATACGATTTAACTAAAATTAGGGAACAAACAATTAAAACATGGCCACAAAATAATGAATCATGGGAATGATTATTTTTTTCTTCCAATGTCAAGTGCAGGGTTCCCACAGTTGTGTTTCACCCCTCATTCTCATTTCTCTCTTTATTTCCCCCCCAGATATGATGCAGGAATCCACGGTGGCACAGAGCATCTTGACGACCGTGAACCAGAGTGTGAAGGTGCACTGTGAAATATCCTATGAAGATGACCGCGTTCCACTGATGGTGCTCTACATTGTGGTTTTTATCATCGGCCTGCCAGCCAACCTGGCCACGGTCTACCTCACCCTCAACCAGGTGTGTCGTAAGAACGTCCTCGGCATCTACCTGCTCAGCCTGTCCGTGTGCGACCTCACCTACCTCTTCACGCTGCCTTTGTGGACGGTGTACGTCAGTAGAAACCACGAGTGGCCCTGGAGCTCCATGGCCTGCAAAGTGACTGGTTTTGTGTTCTTCAACAACATGTACATCAGCATCTTCCTGCTCTGCTGCGTGTCCATCGACCGTTATGTGGCGGTGGTTTACGCCATCGAATCTCGCGGTCTTCGCCAGAAAAAGATCGCAGCTCTTGTGGCATTTTCGATCTACATGGTGGTGGGCTTGAGTCACGCGCCTGTCTTCATGATGCCTGAAGGCAATGCTGCTCAAGGAAATCGCCGTTGCTTTGAGCCCAGCCAGAGCTCAGCAGTGATTACAGGATTCAGCTACGCTCGTGTTTGCATCGGCTTTTGTATCCCCCTTGCCATCCTGATCTTCACCAATAGAGCCATTCTTGTCAACGTTCAGGCCAGTACGGGCCTCCAGCCTCATCAGAAAGAGAAGGTGCGTTACCTGGCTGTGGCGGTGGTGGCGTTGTTTTTGATCTGTTTCGCTCCGTACCACATTATCTTACTCTTGCGTGCCATCACCTTCCACTTCCCCAAGCTGCAAGAGGAGTGTCACTTTGAACAGCACATCTACACGCCCTACAAAATCTCCTTAGGACTGTCGACTTTCAACAGCGCCTTCAACCCCATTCTCTACGTGCTGTCCAGCAACAATATCCGTCAGGAGATCAGAAGAGGCATGGCATCGCTGTGCAACAAAGTCAACTTGAGTCACAGCAGCCAGCACAACATGCACAGCTCCAAAAGCAATTCAGACCCCGTCCCAACAAAGGGCGATCAAATGAGGACAACTTGTCCCTCTGCATGCTAAAATTGGAAATTTTTTGCTTGATGTGCCATAACTTGAAGAAAGGGAAAAATCAAGGCTGTTACATCAATACAATAACACCTTGAAGTTGAACAGACCTGGCAAAAAAAACAAGTGAATTTCCTGTTATTATTGTGTTTTTTTGACTGAAAGGATCTCACAATAAGATTGTCTCTGTGTATTTCACACCTCCTACATTCGTATTCTGCTTCCGTCACAGAATGTTTCTGTAACACCCCAGTCTGAGCTGCAGCTTCTGATTATCTCATAGAGCATATTCTCCAGATCAAACTCGACAGACAGGAAGAGGCCATCTGACCCACTTTTTAAAGTGGCTCACTTCATGGCCTTTATTAATCATACCAAAATATCTGATACTGTATATAAATGTGAAAGTTCACAAAACAAAATATTATCAGGAAATGTGTAAAATTCTCAGAATTTCTGCCCATCCAAAAGGTATAAATACCAATACATTTACAGACATAATGTGGGATAACGTTCTAATTACTGCTACTAAGTGCCTCAAAACTGATCACAGATTTGGTGCTGGGCAAATTATGGCAAATCCAGTGACTGGTTTATTGTAGAAGCTCAGTACCTCGTAAACATGATTTCTGTTTCCGAGTGGACTGGTGAAAATGTTCAACTGCAGTCCCATAAAGTGTATCAAACCAGCCAGATTAGAGCTTGCTGTTTCACACTGTCAGAAAAATGTGCAAAAGTTGTACCTTTAGGGGTACAATGGCTTGTCACTGGGGCAGAACTCTCAAAGGGACACCTTTGTACTATTCTAAGGCACTAATATGCACCCTTCAGGGGTAAAGAAGCCCCTAAAGTGTGCAGTGCCACAGTAATATGTACTCTTAATGTAGTAATATGTACACTTATGGTACTATTATGAACCCTTTAGGGGTAAATAAGTTGCCAGGGTGCCGCATTTAGGGTACTGCCATTGTACCATTAAAGGTACAATTTTTGTAAGTTTTTTCTCAGAGTGTGGCAAGTGATTGCCTTTTAAGCTTCAAATGGTCGGTGGATGGTGTGTTGGCTAATGTCTGAGACAGACTGTTTCAAACAACTTACAGCATCACTTTTTTGTTCTCACATAATTTACTGTAATACAAAAGCAGTGTTTTGTTTTGTAAATTGAATGTGTCAATGTTGAACTGCATGTCTTTTAGTGATGACAGTATTGTTTGGCTAGTTTATTATGTACAAACTTGACATGTATATATTTCTATAAATTATTGTTTTTTTCTGTGTTTTTATAAGATTTTATAATGGTTGTGTTTTGCATTATGATTATTTTTTTAGTTATTTTAATGAATGTCAATTTCAGGACTCATTACACAATCTATTGTGTGCCTTTTTTTTTTTAGGTGTAACGCTCTTATTTTGCTTGATTTTCCCATTTGTCCCATTTTGCCAGATTTCATTTGTAAATTAGACCATATGTGACCCTGGACCACAAAACCAGTCTTAAGTGTCACATTTACATATAAATACGCTTTCCATTGATGTATGGTTTGTTAGGATAGGACGCTATTTGGCTGAGATACAACTATTTAAATATCTGGAATCTGAGGGTGCCAAAAAAAATCTAAATATTGAGAAAATCGTCTTTAAAGTTGTCCAAATGAAGTTCTTAGCAGTGCATAGTACTAATCAAAAATTAAGTTTTAATATATTTACAGTAGGAAATTTACTTTATTAAAGTAATTATCTTAATAATATCTTAATATTAATATCTTAATTGAACATAATCTTTACTTACTATCCTAATGATTTTTGCCATAAAAGAAAAATCTATAATTTGGGCCCATACAATGTATTTTTGGCTATTGCTACAAATATCCCTGTGCA